AGAGAGAGAGAGAGAGAGAGAGAGAGAGAGAGAGAGAGAGAGAGAGAGAGAGAGAGAGAGGGGGAGAGAGAGAGAGAGAGAGAGAGAGAGAGTGGAGCGATACAAGATTGGTTGCGCGGTCCAAGACAGGAGGAGGCGGCCATAACTGCCGAAGCTCGAGCACAGAGTTACCAGGGAGAAAGAAGACGAAGTAGAGGAGAAGGGAGGGCGAAGGAGAGAGAAGCCATAGCCGAGGAAGAAGAAGGGAGAGACGAAGAAGGAAAAAGAAAGACATAGCCGGGGTGAAAGAAGAAAAAAAGTGAGAAAGAAGGAAGGAGGGAGAAGGAGAGTATTGAAGGTTGGTGAGAAAGAAAGGGGGCCACAGCCATAGTCGAGTTGGGTGTTGACCAAGAGTTGACAGGGGGTTGATCGAAGCGTTGACCAAGGAGTTGACCAAGGTTGACTAAGGTGTTGACCAGGAGGTTGAGACCAAGGAGTTGACCAAGGTTGACTAAGGTGTTGACCAGGAGGTTGACCGGGTTGACCGAGATGTTGATTGAGGGGTTGCTTGGCGTTGACCAAGGTGCTGACCGGGAAGTTGACCAGCGTTGACCAGGGCTGTTGACCACGAATTTGACGAAGCTGGAGTTGGTATATTCTCGCCAAGCCTTCAATCTATCCCCTCGCTCTATGGATGTGCACTCAACCCATGGCACTTGCTGCGTCTGTCTGTCTCTTCTTTTTGCATTGAGTGTCTTCTGTGCAAGTGAGAAGGAACTCTGTGTATGGTGTCATAGAGTTGTGTTGACCAAACCCACACGGGCTGAGTATGGCTAAAGGCCATGTCTGACGACTGATTGATCCGGAGGACAAACCCTCCCAAGGACCGGTACAGACCGGCAGGCTGCTTAGTGTGGCATGGTAGGCCCAAAATCCGAGTTGTGGGCTGCACAACCAACTGCCTAAGTCTTGAGAGGACTTGCTGATCACGTCGTCCTGTCTCCGACGTTAAATAATTCCTGAGGAGTTACGGGGATCTCTTTAAATGCCTCCTGATCAGCATTGAAGTCCTGTAGTGACAGTTGTTGTATTAGGTCTAGTCTAGAGACCATAGTTGACAGGGTCCTACATGGATCTTGTAGTTCCCAGAGAGTCAATCAGTCAGTCAAGTGGGTAGGTCTACGTGGTGAGGAGTGGGACAGTCCTTGTCGTGCACCTGACACCATGGATGGCTACCCTATGTACGACTTGCTCGTGGGGTTCTCCCTCTGGGGGACCCTTTGGGGTCTCCTCTTTCCTCTAGGATTCTGGAACACCATGACGTGTAGGGTTGAGACGAGGGGTGGTACTGGGACCACTCCTTACACAAAGGAACAGGAGGAGGAGGCCGCAAAGATTTTGGCTAAGCAGAAGGCCAGGAAGGAGAAGAGGGAAGTTGTGAAGCAGGCAAAAAAGTTGGCCTTACAGGAGCTGGAAAGATTGAAGAGGGAAGAAGAGGCGAAGTTGAAGGCGGTGGAAGAAGAAGAAGAAGAAGAAGAAAAAGTTGGAAGAGGACGTTCCCTTAATAAGGAAGGTGATAAGAGAAAGAGGGGAGTCTAGTGGGACGAAGAAGGACAAGGACCCATGGTTGGAAAATAAGGTATCTGAGTGGGTTGCAAACTTATCCCTGGGAGAGGACGAAGAGGTGATGTTATATGTGTCGAGGGCTGAACAAGAAGCAGTGGTAAAGGAGTTGAAAGCCCTAGAAGAGGACCCCTTAAAACTTCAGACCATAGAAAAAGAGAAGAAGTTGGAGTGGAAGTTGCGTCTGACCAGAGAGAAGAAGAAGAGAATGGAGGTGGCGAGTAAGGCACCAAAGGAGTTGGAGGTGGTGAAACAACAGAGGGCGCAGATGGAGGCACAAGCAGATTTGCAATAGCTAGGAACATAGAACTCCTAGCAAGAGCCCACGAAGAGCAATATCAGTTTGCAAGAGGCCAAGATGTAGTTTTGTGGTCCATATGCCTAGGTTTCAGGGAGTTTGCACGAGAAATGATGATGCACGTGGGTACAAAAGTAAAAGGTCGGGATGAAGAGCACCGAGCGATTCTGCACTGGTGCCATAGAGGGCGCCAAGCTAGTAGCTCCAAGGGAGGAGGAAGCACGTCCCCGTAGGGATCCAGTCAAAGTCAAGTTCCTTGATCCCTACAGTGGGAAGAAGGGAGAGAACCTTGACAACTGGGAGGCGAACATTAACTCTTACGTTCACCTCTAGAAGATCGTACATGAGGAACAAGTTCTAATCGCCTTCCATGCTCTCAAGGACGAAGCGGCAAGCTTCGCTTGATTGCTCGCCCGTGCTGCTAAGTGTGATAATGATATGGTAGCCTACTCGACAATCACCCCCCTGAACGAATTCTTTAAGGTGTTGCGCGAGAGATTTGCTGATGTTACTAGGGGGATTAGAGCCTTTGACAAGCTCCAGGCTATCCACTCGCGCCAACGGAAGAGTGTCAGAGCACTCAAGGGAGTAATGGATGAATTGGTTGTTGTCCCTGAGCATGGGGTCACTGAGACCCAACTGGTCAACCTATTCTATTGTGCCATGCCCGAGCCGTTGCGCAGGCACTTCTTCGAGAAGAGCAAGGAGCAGGCCATGACCTACGATACCTTGAGTAGGGAAGTGGTAGTTTTTGAGGCGCAATCAATGCCAGTTTCCACTTTCTGGCATAAGGACCTTGACAAGGGCAAAAAGTGGAAGGGCCATACCATCTCTGGCCAAGTCAAGGCCAAGGATCACCTGATCTTGACTCTAGATGAGGGTGGTATGGAAGAGGTCCCATACAATCAGAAAGAGTGGGGCCTCGAGGAGGAGGACAATAGTGTGAGTCAGGGGAGTACTCATGTTGTTGTCGCAGTTGGAGGGAGGCTGCAAGGAAGAGGAGGCCGGGGCCAAGGGGGCCAGGCTTCCGGTGGTCGAGGACAAAGTGATCAGGGGGTTGGCGGTAGAGGAAACCGCCAAGCGGGAGGTAGGGGTCAAGGTCCCCCGCAAAACCGCTCTCGTTTTACTCGCTCACCTCCCAGGAGGGGTGGATGGCACCCTGGCTTGCCGCAAGGCAGGCCCTGAGAAGATTTGGGCCTAGAGCAAACAGTTTGGCAGAAGAGGATGGACCAGGATCAGTGCATCTATTGTGGTGATCTGGGGCGCATCATTAAATACTGGCCCAAATACAGAGAGGCCTGGTATGCTACACAGGCAGCAAAAGGCAACCGCGATAGGGGTCGCAACTGCCCTTACCCCTAGACCATGGGCAGAAGAGTGCGAGCACCATAGAGAAACTCCCAAACCACATGTGTCTATGGCAGAGGTTGCTGGCCAGTGCCTAGACAGCTGTCCAGAGACTGCTTGTGTCAGAGTCTCTCTAGGCACTTCCCTCACAGGCGTGGCAGTAGAGTTGAAGGAGAGGATGCCTGACTGGGCCAAGATGAAGAAGGATGCGAAATGACAGCTAGTGTTAGTAGATGTAGAGATTTTTAGAGGACGAGTAGGGGCCCTTATAGACAGTGGGGCCACCCGCAACTACATTAGTAGGAAAGCGCTGCAAAAGTTAAAGTTGAATCTAAAGGTCCAGAAGCTGGGCAACCCTATAGCCAGTATCCTTGCAGACAATCGCATTATGCGAGTCGAGGTTTATGTAGAGGGAGTCCAAGCGTACTTTCGCCTAGAGAAGGATGTGAAGGTAGAGAGAGTTCTCCATTCCCTAACTCTCCTCGTAGAAGACAACCTTCCGTTTGACATAGTCCTAGGAATGGACTGGGGAGAGGCAGCAGGGGCCACACTCCACTTGAGAGAGCATGAGTGTAGGCTCCCTAGTCCATCAGGCGAAGTTAAGACTGCTCGCTTGTTTCATGTGTCAGGAATAGACAACCCCCTGTCACATTGCTGCCTCAGTGCTCCCACGTTCGAGCGATTAGTGAAGAAGGAGCAATTAGAGGAACATGTCTTTGTAGCCTACGTTAGGCCTATTACTGAGCCTACGGAAGAGAAACCCATTGATCCAGCTATTGCCAAGCTACTGGAGGAGTTTACAGATTTAGCTAAGCCGCCTACAGGAGTAGTGCATCGGCCCATCCAGCATCGTATTGAGATAGAGCCAGGCAGTAGGACCTAAGGGAGCCATTTACAGAATGTCCCCAAGGGAGCTAGAGGAGTTGCGCAAGCAGTTAGAAGAGCTCCTCGAAAAGGGTTGGATTATGCCCAGTTCATCTCCATTTGGAGCACCTGTTCTTTTTGTCCCCAAGAAGGAGGGAGAGCTTAGAATGTGTATTGACTACAGGGGTCTCAATGTCGTTACAGTGAAGAATGTTGAACCACTGCCCCGTATAGATGATCTATTAGAGCAGGTGCAGGGCTGCAAGTACTTCTCGAAGATAGATCTTAAGTCCGACTATCATCAGATATAAGTTCACCCTGATGATCGGTATAAGACGACATTCAGGACTAGGTATGGGTAGTATGAGTTTATAGTGATGCCCTTTGGACTAACCAATGCGCCAACTACATTCCAGCGTTGTATTAACTTGTTCAGGCCATGGTTAGACAAATTTGTAGTAGTATACTTAGATGATATTCTAGTTTTTAGTAAGATGCTTCAGGAGCATGAGGGCCAGCTGAGGCAGGTCTTGGAGAAGCTGAGAGAAGCTAACTTCAAGATCAACGCGAAGAAGTGCGAGTGGGCCAAGACACAAGTCTTGTACTTGGGCCACGTCTTAGATGGAGATGGCATAAAACCTGAGGACAGTAAGATAGCAGCGATCAGAGATTGGCCAACGCCCCGCACATTGACAAAATTGCGGTCGTTCCTAGGCCTAGCCAACTACTATAGAAAGTTCGTGAGGAACTTTTCCACCATCGTTGCACCCCTTCGCAGGTTGTTAAAGAAAGAAGCAATTTGGGGATGGGATAGAGACTGTACGCCGGCCTTGAAGAAGTCAAAGAGGGCCTTGATAGAGTATCCAGTCCTCAAGGTAGCCGATCCGTCCTTACCTTTTGTCATCACCACTAACGTAAGTCGGTATGGTATAGGTGCTGTTTTACAGCAAGATGATGGCAATGGGTATAGACCCGTAGAGTTCATGTCCGCTAGGATGCCTTCAGAGAAGGTAGCGACATCTACCTACGAGAGGGAACTCTACGCTCTCAGGCAAGCACTGGATCACTGGAAGCACTACTTGCTTGGGAGGCACTTCAAGGTGTATTCAGACCACGAGACGTTGAGGTGGTTGAAGATGCAGGCCAAGATGACACCAAAGCTGACTAGGTGGGCCGCAGAAACAGACCAATTTGACTTCGAGCTCAAGCCAGTCAAAGGGGAGTAATGTAGTTGTGAACGCTTTAAGTAGGAGAGCTGATTACTTTGGAGCGATAGTTCACTATCTGGATATAGGGCGAGACCTGCAGCAGAAAGTTAAAGAAGCCTATGCATAAGACCCAATTTATAGTGATCTCTTCAAGAGAGTTAAGGAGTCTCCAGAGTCTGAGCCAGACTACCGCACTACATGGGCTGTTGTTTGAGAATTCTAATGTAGCGGATCGATTGTGCGTTCCCAACAGTGAAGAGATCCGAAGTCTGATCTTGGGGGAATGCCATGATACACAGGGACATTTTGGGTGGCAAAAGACATTAGCCAACCTCATGCGCGCGTATACTTGGCCTGGCATGAAGGCTGACTGCATAGAGTATGTGCGCAATTGTAAGGTGTGCCAGCGAAATAAGACCACTACGCGAGCCCCTCTTGGTCTTCTCAGACCCTTGCCTATTCCTGATGGGCCCGGAGACTTTGTATCCATTGACTTCATGGATGGTGGGGTCAGGAGTAGGCATGGCAAGAGCCAAGTCATGGTGATAGTTGATAGATTTAACACGTATGCAGTATTTGTTCCTTTGCCTTCTGAGGCACATACATATTTAGTGATACAGAAGTTCTTCGATCATTGGGTCAGTGACCATGGGCTACCGCTGTCTATAGTTAAGGACAGAGATACCCGGTTCACTAGTCAGAACTGGCAGGAACTAATGAGAGTGTATGGCTCTAAGTTGTTGATGTCATCTGGCCGTCACCCAGAGACCAACGGTCAGACTGAGCAGATGAACAGAGTCCTGCAGCAGGTTCTGAGAATGTACATTAGACCCGACCAAGTTAATTGGGATGAGATGCTCCCAAAGGTAGCCAGTGCTTCTAATAACAGCCTGCACTTAGCTACTCGTCGCACTCCCTACGAATTGCATAAGTCCTTTAGACCGCGTAGACCATTTGAGGGACTCAACCGGGATCAGATTCAGAGGCTACCGCCCGGAACTAGGGAGTTTGCGATACAGCATGAAAAAGAGATTGCTACCGTAGTAGAGAACCTCAGGAAGGCCCAGCATAGAATGATAGAGCAAGCCAATAAGCATCGTCGCCCATCGCAGTTCCAAGTAGGCAACTTAGTCTGGGTTAAGTTTGCTCCTGAGGAAAACATCTCGCAGAAACTGTTACCTGCATATAGAGGACCGTGGCCTGTCTTGGAAGTCAAGGGCGGAGAGGATGGACCGTCCTACACCATAGAGATTCCAGCACACCTCCACACCTACCCAGTCTTTCATGCGTCAAAGTTGTTGCCTTGTACCACAAGTCAACAGTTTCCATCACGGAGATCCATGATCCCTCCGGACATGGATGGAAGGTACAATATTGGCAGCATTGTAGGTGAAGATGTGTTCAGAACAAGAGGTAGAGGTCGTCCACAGAAACAGTACAAGGTTCGATTTGCCTACCAAGAGCCGGAAGACGACCGCTGGTTTACCCGAACAGAGCTTCTAGAGACCACTCCCGATATAGTCCGAGCCTACGAGAGAGATAAGAAAGGTGAAGGTCCTACCTTGGACTGAAGTATTCTCGGAGGACCTTGAATTTAGGCCGGCGGGAGTGAAACGGTTTTCACCTTAGCAGTAGCAGATGCAGATCCCAGGGCTCGATCCCTTAGACCTTACCACACCCGTGTACAGTACCGAGTCGACCCCTGTGTGTTTGAGCCCGTGACCTGTGTTTTGGTAGATGACTGTTGCCTGTCGTAGGTCTGTGTAGCTAGCTGTAGGGGTTCGATCTGTACGTCTGTCGACTAGGGTTCATAGTTGTGTAGAGGCCGTAGCTGTAGCAATTCTGAAAGGTCAAGGTTGTAGCTGCTACAGTTCTGAAAGGTCAAGGTCGTAACTGCTACAGTCCCGAAAGGCCAAGTCCACAGACTTCCGGAAGGTTCGGAAGTGGCCTTTCGAGTTTTTCTCATGTTACTCACAGCAGACCAGAGGCAAGTGGGCAAGTGGTGAGTCCAACTTCGCTTAGTCAGCGGTATCCAGTCCCAGTCTCACTTTGTACAGTCAGCAAGTACCATCAGGGACTGTGTGCACCATGGGCCCATTGGAAAATGGCAAACCAGTGACTTACAGAAGTATAAAGCGAGAGGCAGCGTCCAGCCATTCATTCATTCCTGCATGACCCATGCGGAAGCGCTGCCCTAGCGTCTTGTGCGAGGTGGTCTGCAGATTGCCCGAAGTCGAAGTGGGCAGAGGCGGAGTTAGAGCAGCCATCGCTGCTTGTAGTTAGTGATAGCCGGCAGCCATATCTAGCGATAGGTGTTAGTACAAGTGTGTGTGTGTGTGGGATATAGAGTGTGTGTGTGTGTGGGATATCCAGGGAGATCCGGGGTTAAGTGCGTGTGAACAGTCGCCGTGAATACAGTGTCGGGCTGACGATGTGTGAGGGCGCTGGGGCACCATGGCCAGTTGGAAGCGAGTTTGTACCTGAACTGTGTTCTCGGCCATATGGTCTCTGAGCTTTGTGTGGGCGCCTGGCGCCAGTGTGTTCGATATCTGTTTGCAACTTTGCATGCATGCAAAGTGAGAAGAAAGCGAGTTTGATTTCAGGATGGTCGCTGCTAGCCTCTCACACGAAAATTGTGATCCCCTGTCCTGTGCTCATCCCCCCAACCCCCTGATTACTTGCCCAGCATGCCGTTGTGGCCTTGATCTGCCATGCTTAAATAACTGTGCACGTCAGCCTTCCATACTAATGACATGTCAGCAACATGCCATGTGTCGTCAATGCTTCCAGGAAGCTGTCATAGAAGTATGTGTCTTCACTGCGTGGACTACCTCCGGTGCCATCACCCTCCACATCCTCTCCTAGCATGTCCCGCATGCGGTGTTGGTCATACACCTATGGCAACCGCTGACGGATCTCCCTCTTTCTTGCCAGACGAACGACGGACACAGCAGTCCGAGGAGGAAAATAGACTTCTATATGAACCACCGGAAGAGCAATGTGCTCATAGTTTATCACCACCAGGGCGAGCTGTTGTGGATCAAATCCTGCAGCAGCTGAATGCCCTTGCGTTGGACCGATCCTCCCTGTCGTCGTCTGCCCATAGAGAAGGAATAAATACTGAGGAAGCCCAAGAAAGATGCTCCATGCCGCTTTGTGATGACCCGCCGGAGATTCAACTAGCATGTTGTTCGCATGCCTTGTGCCGTGAGGAGTATGAAGGGATAGTCCATGCGAGTTTTTGCTTCCATACGTACGATGACAGTCAGTACTGTACTCATGTACGGCACCCCGACATGTCACGTCCAATTTGTAGACAGGGGCTGGAACGGCAATGCCTCTATAATTGCGG